AATTAAGAGGCTTGGTTCTTGATTTAAGCTAAAATCCGATTGAATCAAGAGTATTTTTTCTTGTCGATGTTTTTAAGAGTCTGGACTCTAGATCCAATGTGTTGTTTTTTTCCTGTGTAGTTTCAGGAATTAACTTGGCGGATTGAAACCGCGGGTCCCAGCAGGAGATCCCGGCGAAAAATCCATTCTAAAACGGAGAAAATGAGAAAACAGCGCGATGGCTGCTACCGACTCGCCGGCCGCGCGTCTGAAGCCTTCGGGGACTTTTCCCGGCCGACTCGGTACATAATGAGACGTGGCTCACCGGGACTCTGGCGCGGGGGGCGAGAGGGGGCCCATTCTTCTACTCGGATGCGCTGTTATCGATCAACGACTAATTTAAATACAATTTGATCAAACTGCCGTCCACACATTGGCTCACCGAGAGACGCACCTAAGGATGCGATGCCCCCTTCCTCGGGGAGACGGCGGGAGGGGGTGGGTGGGTCCGCTACGGAAATCTCCGCGTTTAGGAGACGTCGAACGCTGATTCTGGCCTGGAGATTGCGCCAACGCCGGTGACGTTAACGTTGTCCCCTTCAATCGCTCCCCGGGGTTGTCCAACTTCCGGAAAATTATCATTTGTGTAGAGATAATACTAAAATTGTACTAAATTGTACTAAATTGTTTTTGAGTACTCTCGATGATATACGGTCGTCACGCGTCGCGCACTGAAAAAAAATTCTCGGCGTTTTTACCAAGGTCCGTTGGTACCTTTACTATCCCCTTTTTTTTACCAATTATTGGTAATTTTACCAAGACAGACCGGTAAGCTCACCTAAAAACCGGTATTTTTACTGTTTTTTTTTTCAGGTAAGAAAACCACTTTTATTGGTAATCAATTCCCGGTAACTTTGCCATTTTATCTCGGTAATTCTACCAAAGTCGATAAGAAAAATGGCGTTTTTACCAAGGTCCAGTAAAATTACCGAGAAAGTTCAATGATTTTACCGAGGTTTCTCGGTAAAATTGCCAATTCCGTAAAAGGTAATTTTACCAAGAAAAAACTGGGATCGATTGAACCCTGAATTCCTGGTAATTTTACCCTTTTCTTAGTAAATGCACAGAGATTTTTTTTTTTCAGTGCGGAACGTCGGGAACACTGGTAGACGTCAATTATTTTACGTGAGGTTGGAGACAAATTCACTTCTTAAGCAAGTTGGGGAACGTCTGGACGTATTGGATTAAAATTAGCAATTAGGAATTTTAACTTCGGGCTAATCCGTAAAAACACTTGGGTGCATGGGGAGACTAACGGTACATATGTTGTTTCAAAACTGAACCATCTAATGTAGTTCTTGATTGCAAAATGTAGACCTATTTATGCTATGCGAATGAATTATAAGAAAATGAATTAGACTGCATTTTGCGATTAGGAACTTCAATTCCTAGCCCATCCATAAAAACACCCGCGCGCGTATGGAACTGAACGGTAGGTACACACGTTGCTTCTAAACTGAGCCAGATAATGTAGTTCCAAATTGTGAACTGCGATCCAACAATGAAGCACGCAATTCTGTGAGGGCATATGTAGTTCCTCTGAGGATAGATGCGTTTCCCTTGCGAGCCGTAACATTCTCTCACTCCTAATGGGAACCTGATCTCGAAGTTTAGTTATGCCCTTTGTGTCATAGAAGCAAAGTAAAGCAAATGAAAGTAAATGACACAAATTTTCTTCTACTGAACAATAATGAGCATAGTCAAAATAACTAGACGTTCCTCCCCGAAGGATCCATCGAGAACTGATCCCAAAATTTCCAACTTTTACCTTAAAAATCTCAAAAGTTTTCCTTCTGCCATACAACAGCGCGCGGAATGCGAAGCAGATGTCAAACAAATCTGATCCCCTCCTCTCCTCCCCCGTAGCTATCCGAGCGGTTAGCGGGAAAACGCGGCAAACCCCACAGGATATTTACATCCACAGCTCGCGGCTTTAATGCTGAATCGATAGTTTTCCAAGAGCTCTTACGGAGCAGTGTCGAGAGACTCGAAACTCGAGCCTTTCGATATTTCTTAACGGTGCCTTACGGCGTTAATCGATATTCCGTCGCAAGCGGCAGACGAGCCCATTTACACGGATACGTAACGCGGATTGGACGACAGGGTACAGGGTTGTCGCCTCGAATCGAAAAAAAGGTTTTCGGTCGTGCTCCGAGTCAGGTTCCCTCGAGATTTGACAGCGCTGTTAGGGCATTAAACGCTAACGTGGAGCATCAAACCTAGTTTGCATTCTACTTATGCCTATAAAACTATTCGAACAAGTGTACGCTTTCGATCGCGCCGTTCGAGGCGAGCCCCCCCCCCCCCCNATCTTTCGGAGTACCCTCCGTGCCCTTTTTTTACGTTTCTCCCTCCTGGGAGGCCTCAACCCTCTTCATGATGTGTTTATTGCTGATTCTTTGAAGAAAAGTTTGCCTTTCCATTGCCTCACCCTTTAACTCACCGAGACAACAGTCGTCAATGTAGATGTCAAATGGAGTTCTTGCACGTGCCAGGGATTTGCAATTTAGATGCTTGGCCTTGAGTAAAATTTCGCGAGAAACATGATGGTACCACTGGTTTCCACTGAAATCTACTCCTAGGCTCAAAAAAAGGTCTGAAAGTTCAGGCCGTAATTTCCGTAGTTTTCACTCGGAGGGTTAAATGTTGAGACTTCGGACAGAGGGAAAGCGTAGGAGCAGACGAGGACGAGATCTGCCGTGCTAAGGAAAAACGCCGTATGAACCTTCAGGCGTTGCCAAATTTTCTTCGATTGTCACGAATTCCCTGGTAAACTTATGAATATTTTTCTTCCAATTTCTCAAAGAATATCTTTTGTATTTAGATCTAAAATTCCTGAAAATTTCAAGGAAAAATATTCATAATTTTCCTCATAAATAAACATTTTATCAAAGGAAATTTGGCAACTCTCGAATGTTCATACGGCGTTTTTCCTTAGCACGGCGGAGATGGAGTCGGCATTCTGCAACGCGGAGCGCATCGGCCGGGACTAGGGCCGGCATCAATATCGGAACGTGAATTATATCACCATGGACGGCCGACTATGGGAAGGCTGGAGGCATGATTAATGAGCGACAGATTGGCGGCACGGCCACCGAGCTGCCTCTCCGTCGAGTTTCCTCGGCTTTCCGCCCTCGTTCCCGGCTTTTCCGCGCCGACCCGGCGACACCGACCGCCACTCCGTCCGCCGCCGTTGCCGGCCGCCGGGAAACCGGCTCGCTCCTCGATGGGCCCGACGCAAACTTCAGCTAGAGCAGAAAGGAGAGCTGTTTCTAATAGAAAATAGCTAAAAAATCAGCACGGAGAAAAAAACTTCGTGCGTGGGACCCGAAGTTGAGGTCATATGGATCTCTGAAGTTTTCGGATCACGCATCTAAAAACTTGAGGTCCAGCTGCCGAAGTTCGGGTCAGACATCTGAAGTACTTCGATATATACCTAAGGGTTCGGGTCCCACATCTGAAGTACTCCGGTACATACCGAAGTGCCTCGATGTCTGACCCCAACTTCGGCAGCTCGATCTCAAGTTTTCGGATGCGTGATCAGAAAACTTCAGAGATCCATATGACCTCAACTTCGGGTCCCATGTTCGAAGTTTTTTTCTCCGTGAGGATGAGCGCATTGAGAGAGACTGAGATGCACTCCTATTGTCACAAACTGAGTAAGAAATATGCGTTTTTTTTAAGCTTCCAACTTCAAAAACGATATTACGGCATAGGACAGGTGAATATTTCGTAAGAGGAGTCATCTCATTCAACCATTGCGCATTAGTTGCGTTGAGACAGCGCGGATCATGGATGTCACGAATGGGAATGAAGATTACACAATTCTAACATTTTTCGTAATCTTTGATGGACTCCAAAATTTCGAATTTCTACCTCCGTTTCCTCTCTCATTCCGTTTGTTCCTTGCCGTGCCCCTAACTCCCCGGTCCATTCCAGTCTATAATCTTTGCAGTTGGTAAAAATATAATCTCAGTCTGTGACACTGTGGCGGCCTGAAATACGGGAACCTATCAGAAATGGATTTGTATTGTCTTTACTCTCAGTATGAAGAAACTCTAGTTTTCACTTCAAATTTTATTTCTAAATCACCCCTGAACATTCATTTTGCGACGGTATAGACATTAGAATTTGAAATTTTTGTGAGGAATGTATTGTTCATCCTCTCCAGGACCCGACCCATTGGGCGGCGAGGGTTCCAGCTCGTCCCGTTTGGCAGCGCTGCCGTCGGCCGCTCCAGCCGTTCCTTGTGTATGGGTTAATGGGTGTTTTGACCCGCGCAAGATGCTCTGTCCCGCGAAACCACGCCACGCTTGCGTAGGACTCCCCGACGCATTGAGTCACCTAGTAGAAAATGCACGTATTGCAGGTCGTTTTTAGTTTGGACTGACAGCAATTTCGTACACATCATTTTCCTGATAAATCTCGATAAACAGGGAGTTATTCACGGCAATCACGGAAATTCTTTCTGGGTAGAGTTAGCGCCAAGTAAGTTTACTAAAAAGTTTGACGGAGAATAATCGGATTGCATTTTGCAACAAGGAACCAGGAGCATTGCAATGTTGCTAAGATTGTGCAACTTCCTCTGCTTCGGAAGAAAAACCTGATTATCTATAAACAATTTTTATTTTTCTCGCTAAAAATTGTAAATTTAAGACAAAAATTACCATGTAAATTTCACATTTTTCAGGATTTCAATAGTTACATTGCAATGGATGAAGTTGCACAACCATAGCAACATTGCAATGCTCCTGATTCCTTTTTGCAAAATGCAATCCAATCTATCTTCGATTCATCGTGGAAAGTGGATACGAGAGCAAGATGACGCAATTCGGTTTTACTCCAAAAATTTGCCAACTTATTTGGCGTGGACTCTACTGAGATAAATAACTAAAATAAAATGCATGGCATTTACGGATTTGTGAAAGGTTTCGGATAGAGTAGAATGGATTTTCAATTACCTTGTTCGGCGGCAGCTCTGTAAATGATTACAGCGGCAGCAATGTAGAGCAGAGGGGGAGCTCCCATGATCGTTGGAGGCCCGCAAGCCCTTACTACTATCTGATTCTCAACACCATAACCGATAGTTTTCCCTTCTCTGTAACAGACAAAAAAGAATTTCGATTACTTTTCAGAAATATACACGAAAACTCCAGCAAAGTTGGTTGAACTTCAACCTCACATTCAGTATTCTATGACTGCTTATTGGGCTTTCTCCGTGAGAAAAGAAAATGAAAATAGATAGTCATTGACATCCTTCGTCCACTCTGCTATAGTTCTATTTAAAAACAATATAGATCAATAAAAGAGAGAAATGGAGGAAGGAAGGAATAAAGAAAGAAAAAAAGAAAGAGGAAGTTCACACATAAAACAGCTTTGACGTTAAAATCTGCTTAAAATAGTTTAAAGTAAATCAACAGTCATAGCAGCGCAACCTCACAGGTCACAGGGGTCCTCGACTGTGGGCTATTAGGGGTGTTCTGGGGTGACGCTGCGCAGCAGCACGGGCGCGACCTTCTGGTGAAATGTAACTTAATCCAATTGACTGAAATAGTGCGGCCCAAAAAGAATCGTAGCCGCTAAAAAATCAGAGGGGTGTCAAGAAATCGTACCGTTTGCTTTCATAACGAAGCGTTCAAGTCACCGGAGATTGGCGAAGAGAATAAACCAGGCACATAGAATTAAACCTGGCAACCTTCTTTTTCTGCAATTTCTGAGGAGGGCGCAAATAAGGAAAAAAATGAGAAACCGCATTGTGGTAAACAATGCTATTTGACGAATTTAAATACGTAAAATCATTACATTTCGACCAACTTGATTAAGAAATTGGTAAAAAAAAATTATCTAGAAATCATGAACTGATCGATTCTCAAAACATCTTATTTGATTAATGATCCGTTCATCCCTGTTTCAATCCTGAAATTAATTGAGCATAATAGTTTAGGCGCGAAACACTTGTTCTCCTACAGATAATTGATGATTGGGCTACGATTTTATTGTAGCTGCGTGGAAGCAGTTGGCTGGAGCTCCAAATTACGACACAGGGTAAGAAAGTAATTTTTTTGACTACCTCCGGACAACTTGAACTGAAATCTTCCGAGCTTGATAGCTCACTACAAGAATTGTTCAGTTTTTAATAATGTAATAACGGAGGGATTCGATTAAATTTGGACAATCTGATAACCCTGCGTTTGAAAAATAAAGATAGTCGGCTTGGAGCTAAAATTCTTGTGGGGGCTGTAGTTACAGACAAAGTTCAATCCGAACATTTCCCGGGGCGCGCTTTCGGTCGTGAACAACACCCCTGAATGGGGAGGGGGGAGGATGCTGCGGCTTTTCCTCGAACAGAACCGTGTCGCGAGAGCAAGTCCACGAGAGGCGGCAGCATTTTTGCCAAGTTTATTGAAAACCATAGCAGATTTATAATGAAGTTAAGAAGCTGGCAAGCGTGTAGGCAATGCGCCTGAAAATATACGGAAATTTTACGAGTAATATTTCAATAAATTTCCGAAATTTATGAAACATACCAAAAAAATATACATTTTTTCGCAAAATGTAAAAACTGTTTCTTCTATTTTTGTGTGCTTGAGTGCGGGTTGTATACTCTAGCCTCTGAAAGTAAGAAATATTTCTGAGCCTCGTGAAATTTCATTAAATATTTCACTGGAATTTCCAATCTTTCATTTCTCTCTCACGTTTTATGCCATCCTGCCCGGTATCATTTTAACGGCATATGCGTGGCATCCACGCTACCGAACTCGCGTCTCACGTTTTCCGCAGAAATCGTCGGGAACTCTCCGACAAAAGCCCGCGAACGAGACGCTAGTCAGGAAATCCAGATCCCAGGATGAAAAGGCAGATCATGCAGGGGCCAAATTGAATTTCCGTGCCGCAAAAAGGAACGCATTACAACCGATTTGGAGGATTCCAATGTTAATTTTCTCGCTGCGTACCTAAGCCCTCTGCCAGATCTACGTATCGTAGACTGGGAAAATTGGAGGAATTCACTCGCCAGAGAACATATATGCGAATAATATTAGCTTTTTTCTAATTTTCTTATATTGCCTCTGTTCTGCTGATATTTTCATATAATCCTCTGGCACAGCTAACTAAAGCTTAAGGTGATTCGATGGACGTTATATTTTGTGTCAGAACGGCATGCGATATACCGCATCAATTAGTTCCATTTTTTCAGCTACTCGTCATTTTACTCGAATTTTGAGATCGCAATTCTATTGTCAGGAGACGAAAGCACTCATTTACCAATGTTAACAAATAAATTCAACGTAATAAAGGCGTGGTTTTTTTAGAGAGATAATATCGCATTCGATACTGTGCTGCCAGTGCGAAACGCGCACTGACGCCTACAAACCTAAGGGGATACTTCAAGCATTGCGCAACGCGTGAAGTATCCCCTTAGGTTTGTAGGCGTCAGTGCGCGTTTCGCACTGGCAGCACAGTATCGAATGCGATATTTTCTCTCTAAAAAAACCACGCCTTTATTACGTTGAATTTATTTGTTAACATGGTAATGAAGTGCTTTAGTCTCCTGACAACAGAATTGTGATCTCAAAATACGAGAAAAATGACGAGTAGCTGAAAAAATGGAACCAATTGATGCGATATATCGTATGCCATTCTGACTCAAAATATGGCGTCCATCGAATCACCTTAAAAGATTAACAAAGCATAATAGATTCTAGAGAGAGCTGGATTTCTAACAAATAATTTAGATGAAGTAACTTATCAAGTAATTACAAATTTTCTCTATTTTTCCGTCCCAAGCGCAGCATGCTCCTTTTTCACCACGAGGATTGTAACTTTGCAGAAGTGCCTTTTAAGCGGATTTTAAAAAAATTCCAGAATTTGCAGAATTAAAAAAAACAGAACGTAATGCTGATAAAAGTAGCCTAGCAAATAATTTGGTCTATTTCTTTTTGCTACCAGATCCCCATTTACTATATTATACATTACTTAATGATATCATATTCAGTTCCCTAGATGAAGACGTTCATTGAAGAATCTTCTCAGAACCGAGCGAGACGTGTCGGAGTAAAATCAGCTAAAAAGTTATTCAATCGAATGTGATGACCACGGAAGAAATTCTAACCTCCAATCGCGCAATATAATATGTGCGTACTCAAAAGCGACGGCAAAAATCCAGACAAGACACAGCAAATAACTCAGAAATGAATGGGGAAAGGTGCGGCTATTTGAGATCCCATGCTGACGGCACAGATTTTCCGAGCCTTTTTCGATTTTTCCTTCATTAGGTATGCCAGACCACCTGCTGGAGAGAAAATAGATAGCTCATCAACTGAGATAAAAAAAACACACCGTCAATCGTGTGAATGGAAGGGAATCTCTACGTCAACAATAATGGCACACTGAATAACGACAGGTAATACACGTTTGAAATAAGTCCAATACTTAATGGTATATCGAGGTGGTTCAGTGCGTATGACGGTTTTCGCGCGTTCTCACAACTTCTTTTTTTTTCCGAACAAGTCCGGATTTTACAGGAAATAGATGATACTCCCAAAAGTATCTACACAGCAAATGAATCGGCTTCCTCAATCGTAGTAAAATGTTTTCGTGTTTTACTTTCATTCCGATCATTTCGCCTTCAAAAGTTTGACTAGGCAACGTGAGCGGCTCAGGAGCATTGATAATTGCTTCCAGCGATTTATCCACGTTCCTTCGTTCCGATCAAGGAATCCGCGCTATCCTCCGCTTTCCTTTCGATCAGTTCTTCTTCAACATTTGGATTCGGCATCGTAGACGGAACTGTTGATGCCAAGAAAATACGTTCATCATTTCACACTACGTACTGGCTTTTAATGTTATATTATTTTTCGCAGAAATCGAAGCAACACTATGCCTTGAAACTATGTAAGAATTTTTCATATCTTATACAGAAAACAGGGTGATCCACAGTTAAACGGCCAGATTACAGGAGTCGAAACATCCCCAAATACCTTCTTTATTTTTTAGATCATTTATGAATTCAGGGCATAAAAGTACAGGCTGATACAAATTTTCATGAGATTTGGTTCACAACCGTTGCCAAAATTCAGGAAAAACCATTTATTTTCCGAAAGTTTAACTCCGACTGGGGGCATTTTTGGAAAAAAACTTTATACAACAAAAAAAGTCTTCTTTTGACCCATACAACAAGCTCCTGTAGTCTGGCCATTTAACCTTGAATCACCCTGTATACTTAAAATAAGCCATAATTTTGCTCAGTTCCCATGTAAAAAATTAACCATGAGCAGAAATTGGATAACATCTGATTCTACTTTACTATATCTGGTTTTCCGTTCAAATGGTGTTGGAGACGTTGGTTTCATTTTCTCATACGGCTCTGATAGTCAATGCGGGGATCTCGCCTATGAAATTTTCCGTCTGCGTGGAAAGAAAGCAGATGACTCGAAGGAAACGGTCGATTGCACCGCGGTCGCGTTTGACGAGGTGGATCACAAGTGCTCGGAGGGCAAGGTAAGGGCACTGGGGTGTGTGGTGTGCGCCCCCAACTAAGCACCGAAGAACACAACTATTTTAAATAGCGTGGAAATGAGTGCGTTTAATGAGTTCCATTTGTCGGAACGACGAAACAGACCGACACCAGCGACTCCAGCGTGTCAAATCGTGAATGTCGAGGACCCGGCCGAGGGCACCATGACCTCTCAGCTTTACCCACCCGAATCCCGAACTCAACGCCGATGGTAAAGTTAAAGAAACACGCGTGTAACGTTGCAAAACCTCACGATTTTAATACTCTCTTTTCCCTCTCTTAAAAGTAAGTCCGATACTTTCTCTGCGACAAACGTTTCTTTTCCTGATACATAAGGCTGATTCTCCATGAAATTATATCCCAATATCATCGTTTTAGTAGGGTTTCCATTGATATCGGGCTTGTCTTCATTACTCTCCTCCTCCTCTCATAAAAGTCAGTCTCCGATACTCTTCCTGTCCTTCAACTTTTATCTTTTCCTGATCTTCTGACGCAGGAGCTGATCTCAATTTCCACAAGAGCCCTGTGCTCAATATAACTTAATGCTCTCCACGGCTCATGTGAAAAGAGAGATAGGCCTTCAC